CTCGGCCAGCTTCGGCTTTCAGTGCGGCTCAGCCGAGCCGAGGCATATGCGTTCGGCTCGGCTGAGCCGCTCGGCCACGTTCGGGAGCTGCAGGGCTATAGTGAATAGCCTGTACAGCACACCTTCAGTTCTACTGAACCGAAGGGGTCCTGGGGCCGAAGCTAGCTGAAGGATCGGCCGAAGCTACGGCTAGATCCTTCGGCAGCTTCGTGAATAGACCCCATAGTTTGGAGTTAGGACCGCACTATATAGAGGTGCCTTGGCGCGGCTGTGCGGCTTTCACATTTTCTGCAGAAGACGTGTATCTAAACCTCTGTTTTTAACCTTAGCGGTGAGACAAGTTTTTTTTCATGCTGGCTGGTGAGGGTGCTGGGAAACTTTTTGCTATTACTGTTTAAAGCCCTTCCATGTGCACCTTGCTGTAAAGCTAGTAACAAATTGATAAGTGCGTTTGCCATTTGTTTTGCTTGAAATTGTATAAAGGTACCACTGCAGCCTGCATAAATGACTGTGTAGTTAGACAATTCCGGCCCGCCATGAGCTTCTGAGCACTATACCAGTCACATTGTCTGCTATAGCTGTAGTTATCTCCTTGCCCAAGGTGATCTACCCAGTGTTGCCCAAACATTACCCAATAGCTGATCCTTTTTAATTTGAAGGTATTAAACAATAATCATCTAACATCTTTGAGTTAGTTTACTGATATTGAATACTCAATTCACAGAGCTTTAACAAAAAGATCACTATCTTTATTTTTGCCATTTTTCTTATAAGAAGGGTCTTTCATTGATGACTTAGCTTTGCGAATTGAACCTTAAATGGGGGGCACCGCTCCCTCAAGTTATATGTTTTACAAAAATGAAATAAAAGCAGAACAAAATGAAGTACTTTAGAGCGGCATCAGTCACACAATTTCCTTCTAATGACGTGTATCCTATGACCAGCTGGCTGCTGGTTATTTTAAAAATCTTCTACTCACAGTGGTGATCTTTAGCCTTTAGACCTTTTTTTCTAGGTCTGCTTATGAATGCTAGAGCCAATGTTGTCTATGGAAACAACAGAGATAGTTGTTACCCAGTGACCTCGTAATAAATTGTGAATAGCATTGTTACAAGCTTAAACACGTATATCTGGAAACATGTAACCAGTTTTTCAGCATTTCAGAACATAATCTTGAGAAAACGTCAGGGGTAATGGTTTGAGTCTAAAGTAAGCATTCTCATGTGACAGGTATAAATAAGTGTGTCTTCCTTTGATCACAGGATATGATATGTTTCTGACGTCAGCTGAATGCCACATATTGCTGGCTAAAACACACAGGTACACAATGTGATAGCGGCACCAACAACTTTGATGTGCTCTGCTGGGGTCTCTTAGGAACACATTTACAATTTTGATACCAAATAAAATCAACATATAAATCTACACAGGTGCATCTGACCTTGCATTTTATATTCCTAAATCAGTATATAAATGTCTTGCTCTTAAAGGTCTGACAAAAGTTGAAGAGAAGAACAAAAACAGATATCCTTCTCTGTGGCACTATGCCCCTTTAGAATGTCTTTTATAAAGAGCTGGAGGGAGGGTAGAAGCCAGAGGCGTAACTAGAACCTTCAGGGCCCCCGGTGCAAGAAACCATGAAGGCCCCCCCAACCGCCATGGCACCACACCGTTAACAGGAAGGCTGCTGAGGTCCCCAGCAAGCTCGGGACTCAGGTAGCCGCTTGTTTAAAATGTTAGTGTCAGTGTTCTGTCAAGAACTGTATAAACAGCTGTATAAACATTATACAGCAATGCAGAATACCACCAGCTATGCAGGACTACAAGTCCCAGCAATACATTATAATAAAAATCAGCAATGCAGACTACCACCAGCATCCCCCCCTTCCCGGTCCAGACTTACCTTACCTCTCCTCTCATGCAGCACCTTCTTCCGCATCTCGTCGGCCAGTGGGCAGGTTTAAGTGGAGAGGGTCCTCTCTCTCACACAGCAGAATGTGCTGCCTGTCGTGCCTGCAGCACATTCAGCTAAACAAGTTGCTGAATGTGACGCCTCTCTAGCCCCACCGCACAGCCACCTGTACATGCTGAGCGGCACTATTTCGGGGGGGCCCTCTTCTTCCTCGCTGGGCCCCCCCAACAGGCGGACTGCCAGAGCCCAGTCGCAATTGCGACTTCTGCAACCCTGGTAGTTCTGCCAGTGGTAGAAGCATAGGATAATCACTTTTTTGGTTTCCAAAAGAAGCAGCAAGACAAGTTTGTCCCATTGCTTACATTTGATGCATACATGCAGGCACCGGAAAAAGATGACAAGGGAAGAGCGAATTCAGAGTGACCTTTGGGGTATATATAGTGACAGTATGGAACATTGTGGTCTCTGAGCAAAGATTCAAAAGTAAAAAATAGGCTAACTTCTTAAAATCTACCTACAGTATGGGAACCAGTTTGCGGTGAGAAAATCCACTACGGTTTCCAAACGTTCCCACTTTGGACTTTCATAAATATTAATTTTATTCTTCTTATACAGCAGTGAAAAGTTAGGGGTGGTGGCACCACTAGCATTGTTGACTGGTTAGGAAGGCTAAAAAAAAACATTGGCCAAAAACAAAATGTTTCACTTAATTTTCCAGGGTGTAGCATCCCAACAGCTTAGAAAGCATCTTGGTGTTTTCACTGAACTTTTTTTCGTTTTGGACAATATAAGGCAGGATTATAACCCCTGTCAGCTCTTCGTGCCATCTGTGTCCCATTAGGTGATTTCCCTTCACTTCCGGTAGAAAGTCAAAACAGAAAGTGAGAGAAAATCCCTGGTCAGCAGGGTTACCAGAACCACTGTGTCTACTTTCCCATGTATTTGTGTTCTGATGACAACTCAAAATTTGGGATTTTCTTTCACTTCCAGTGTTAAAGTGACATTAAAGGATATTTTTCCCCCTCCCCCCAATGTTAATGTCAGCACTTACCTTAAATGATGTCTCTTAATCCAATCTTCCTCTTCTTTCCCCATGTTTTCATCTGTCCCTCCAGCGGTGCGGCGGCTCTCCAATCCAGCGCTGACTCCTCTCTGCTTACGGGCACTTCCGATCCAGCGGTGTCTGCAGGCGGGTGCACGCGTCCATAGACTTAGCTTGCGTCTCTGCTCGTCTCCGGGCCAAGAATCCGAACTGCGCATGCGCTCGCCCCAAGATCCTTTGCGGCCGCACGAACAGTTCCGGACTCTTGCCGCTGAGCACGCAGCGATAATGAGGTCAGTCTAAACCGCTGTTTAAGCGTTTTGTTTTTTTAAAAACTTTTTGCCTATGTCTACTGCTTGTCAGCAGTAGATATAGGCAAAAAAACGGGAGGCTTTAGAACCCCTTTAATGGTCTCTAGAACTAATAGTGAGGGTGAAACTCCAAAACAGGGACACAGATAACAATAACAACATGACAGGTGTTCTAATCCCTTCCTACTCTATTCTACACCAAAAAGAGGTTTTAGTTTCAGCTGCACTTTAAGAGGACAAGTATTCAAAAGATGTACCGTGTGAAAGGTTAGCACTTGGCCACTGTGAGAAGGGGCAGTTTGAACGCAGTTTGGTATTCATGACCAGGTGTGGGAATGACTGGAAGGGTTGTGGACGCTATTTGTACATAGTG